CAGATCGGCGTAAGTCAGGAATGTTACATCTGAGTCTACTACTCACCAATCACCAATTGGTGACGAGTTTTGAACGTATCCGGAGGCCTGCCAAGGTTTTACCGGGACGGGGGCAGCCGCACTATTAGCCCACTCGCCATTTCAAGAAGGTGTCACCCTTCTTTACTTAGGGAGCAGAATAGCACGACTGTCAGCCCTGTAGCGTGGTATCCAATCCATTGTACCGTGTCGTGTCCATAGTTCCATGCCGTATCCAGTATGCCGTAATAAGGATCTTACTGGCGTCGATCCTAATGTGCCGGTTGGCACTCCTGCGGGTTGACGAAGCAGTTCCTCGATCGCCGTGTTATGGTTACCGCGCCAGTGTTCGCGTCGCACCCCCTCACTTTGCTATTGTCAGAAGGACAACATTGCCCAGGCTACACCACGGGGAGGTGTGAGGTAGGAACTTGTGAGGACCAGAGATAGGAAAAACGCTCTTCCCAGGTTGTCAATTCACCATTTGTAGTGTGTGTGTGTGTGTGTGTGTGTGTGTGTGTGTGTGTGTGTGTGTGTGTGTGTGTGTGTGTGTGTGTGTGTGTGTGTGTGTGTGTGTGTGTGTGTGTGTGTGTGTGTGTGTGTGTGTGTGTGTGTGTGTGTGTGTGTGTGTGTGTGTGTGTGTGTGTGTGTGTGTGAGTGTGTGTGTGTGTGTGTGTGTGTGTGTGTGTGTGTGAGTGTGTGTGTGGGTGTGTGTGTGTGTGTGTGTGTGTGTGTGTGTGTGTGTGTGTGTGTGTGTGTGTGTGTGTGTGTGTGTGTGTGTGTGTGTGTGTGTGTGTGTGTGTGTGTGTGTGTGTGTGTGTGTGTGTGTGTATGCGTGTGTGTGTGTGTGTGTGTGTGTGTGTGTGTGTGTGTGTGTGTGTGTGTGCGTGTGTGTGTGTATGTGTGGGTGTGTGTGTGTGTGTGTGTGTGTGTGTATGTGTGTGTGTGTGTGTGTGTGTGTGTGTGTGTGTGTGCGTGTGTGTGTTTGTGTGTATTCAATCTAACCCCCCACTGGCCGCCAGTGTTATTATGGAAGAACTCTCTCTACAATGTCGCATTTATGGACATTGTAGACAGATTTAGTCCGGGAGTTAGAAGGTGATAGCTCTATTGCAGATCCAGCAACCCATTTCAGAATGTCTGGAGAGTCACGCCCATTCCGAGGTTACTTTCACTTACAATAAGCCCCGCATGTATGCATGTCCGTTATCAAATGGATATTGGTATAACATACACGCTTCCAGGTTTGAAACTATATATATTTTCAAACCTGGCATGTATTTAGTTTATTTTTGATATATATTTTTTTTAATAATTGGAAAGCTCTCATCATATTCTGCTCTTCCGCCGTCGTTGATTACTTCTTTTGGAATCCCTTGGACTTTTTCTCTAACGCTTCGTATTTCATTCCGTGCTTCACCGGCAATTTCCTTCCGTAGATCGTCCTTGGTTGGTTCTTAAATGATTCCGCATTTTTTGGTGGGCTTAATTGAATTGAATTGAATTAATCATATTGTCGAGCAGTTTTGGGACGACCTTCTACCAGCGATTTCACGGAAATGAAACAATCAATTTCAGATTTTTCAAGCATTTTACATATAAGACCCTATTTTCTCGAGGTTGTAGAAGAAAACATATTAAAATATTGTTCCACGTTAAAGTTCGAGTGGTAGGAAACGTCATTTTAAACTGCTCGAATGATGTGATCCATTGCCATGGTGATCTGGGACGAGGCTCACGTCCAAAGTCGCTGTTCCACCAAGCGCTCCGTGTGCGAAAAAAAGAATGAAAGAAATACGAAAGGGATCAGTTTCAAGAAGTGACAGTTTCATCAGATTCCCCAACTAACCATAGTCAAGCAAAGTAAGAATATACAAGCTATATTGCGACTATATGGTTACTTGGGTACTCATTTGGCCGTCAGAATGGTTCATCGGTTGCGAAGTGAATATTATCCTAACGTTACCTCCATCACAGACAAACAGACATAACACATTGAATATTGCTCAATGTAAAACATCGTCGCTAAAACATTACCGCCATCTGTTGAGTACAGTGTGGTGGGTAGTATGCTGAACAGATGGCGGTAGTGTGTAAACGTCAAACGCAAGGGAATTGACTATGCGCGCCACAGGTGGCGGTACTACCAACTAAGTTACTATTAAATTGACCGTTAAATGCTTGTTCGATGAACAACTTGCGACTGTTATGTCTGTTTGTCTGTGCCTCCATGTTATATCACAGACAAGCAGGCACAACACATTGAACATTTATCATTGTAAACCCTACTGCCATCTGTCGTATATACTTTGATAGGCAATACACTCAACAGATGGTTGTAGTGTGTAAACGTCAAACGCTAGGGAATTGATTATGTGCACCACAGGTTGCGGTACTACCAACTAATAAACATTTAAATTGACCGTTAAAAACGATTTCGATGAAGGTTTTAAGAATGTTATGTCTGCTTGTTTGTGATCATACCTTCACTATCGCAACTTCGGGTAATCTGCGAAAGTATTTGCATTTTCCTCAGGCACTTTTGATCTAACTGCAATTACTCTCTCATACTCGAAATGTGCCACGACCAAATTGGCACAACGACGCCCTATACGCTCTCTGATCGAAGCGCAGGGGCCCAACTAACCAGCACATTCAGGTGGTCCAAAATATGTTTCGAACCTGGTTCAAATTATGCTTTCACAAGTGGCTTGAAGCAAAGGGTGTCCACAGTTAAATTGCATCACTTTCAAAAAGCTGAAACATTTTACTCTTTGGGTTAATTTTAATGAAATTTTGGGTGAGATGGCCTCAGCGTGTGTTGTTTACACTGCGTGAGTATCATTGTACACGGTAAGAAAAAAGTACCCAACGGAAAGTTCACTTTATCTTACTTTTGACTAGTTTGTCTCCTTTTCTCCTTCTAATGTTGTCAAAAACAGAGGAACAAAACCACCCAACAGGGGTAGTAAAGTGTGGGAACCCAACGTTGCGTATAATCATGTTTACCTACTTTTGGGTACAACTAACTTACTTTTGGGTAGAAAGCTAGTGGAAAATTCCATACGAATTGCACACAAGTAAATGAAAACTACTTTGACCCGCTTTACCTACTTTTGGGTTCCTGCACTATAAAGATTGCTAATACCCCGTTCACATTACAGTCTATATCACGTAATATAGGCTGTCTTGCAATGAGCACTCATACATCTAGTTTTCACTGGAAATCCTATGTATGAGTGCTCATTGCAAGACAGCCTATATTACGAGATATAGGCTGTAATGTGAACGGGATATAAAGTGTGATTGTGTCAGTGATTTGTTCTCATCGGGAAAATTTTTCACTATGAAGTTTTTTTTTTTCCAATGAAAACATTTTGCGTATACATATACGTAACGTAGTGTGCATACGATAAACGTCAGCAAGCTCTATACCCAACAAACAAATTTAGCTGCAGTTTAGCTTATAGAGCCAAAATTTGCCTTATGCAGCGTTTTTTTGCCTGTATAAGCTAAGCTGCAGCTAAAATTGTTTGTTGGGTAGTGCCGAGATGAGTGAAAAAAACATACTTTTGGGTACTTTTTTCTAACCGTGTAAACTTTCTAGTAGTTTTAAAAAGGAAGTCGAAAGAACAGCGCGGGCGCGAGAAAATTTTGCATCTGGTACAACAATAAAGGTAACTCTAAGACTAGACGTACAAACGAAGTGACAGACGACTAACTGGCGAAGAAATCAATTAAAATAATGTGGTTCGCTGTAATAGAATTTTCTTAGAAGCTTGTGCCATCAGCCACCAGATGGGCTATTATTTTTGTTTTGATTTGAACTTAGTTGATTTTGTGTGCAATATGATCTTTGACAGTGTGCAAAGAGTGTATCATTTTGTCATTTTTTATGCACTTCAGTTTAGCGTAGAGTGAAAGAGATAGAACCAAAACATTCTAGTACATTGAGTGTTGCCATGTGATACAATCCAGTAGTACTGGCACAAACGAAGTGACAGACGGAGTGGCTCGAAAACTTTGGTGACTAACCTGCTATTTAAATTTTTCAGTGTATTACATGGCAACACCACTACTACTGGATTGTACCACATGGCAACACTACTACTGGATTGTACTAGCATTTTCACCAAATGTGTCAGAATGTTTTGGTTCTATCTCTTTCACTCTACTCGAAACTGCAATGCATAAAAAAATGACAAAATGATACGCACTCTTTGCACACTGTCAAAGAATCATTGTACACAAAATCAACTTTGTTCAAATCAAAACAAAAAAACTAACCCATCTGGTGGATGATGGCACAAGCTTCCAAGAAAATTCTATTACAGTGAACCACATTATTTAAATGGATTTCTTCGCCAGTAAGTCGTCTGTCACTTCGTTTGTGGTACTGGTGCTGCCATGTGGTACACTGAAAAATTGCAATAGCAGGTGCGTCACCAAAGTTTTCGAGCCGCTCCGTCTGTCACTTCGTTTGTGCTAGAAGGTCCCCAAGAAACGTGCTCAACTTTTTAGCTCAGCTCTGGTACTCTCTTCGGTCACAAGCTAATCCATGCATCCCTCGAAACATAGGAAAATCCACGAACCACTCATTTTATCTGTCAAACATTCATAGAGAATCAAAACAAGCATAGTGTAGTACTAGAATTTAGACTAGAATGGGGTACGTTAATCGATTTGCTTGGGAACAATAGGCTAGTCAAGTAGTGAGCCAATTTAAAATCGTTAGTGTCCACCGGTACTTAATACTTTAGCACTTTTATTTTTCTTTTAAGGTCGGCATAAGTTAAGTCTTCTTGAAAATTTACTCGAGAATCGATCTAAAACACAAAAGTGCCCAATACTCAAGATCATGAGAGAAAGAGAGCGTTGGAAGAGCAGAGAGAACTCCTAACGTCAAATCGAATCCAAAACAAAAGTCCCACCCCATCATCCCGTGCTCCCGTGTATTTACGATTGGCAGTGAAATTAATAATATTTGCAGTTTTTCAGTGAAAAAAAAAAACAGTGCCCTGCGATGGCCATCCCCAGGATCATGGTCTTCCGACCGACCTGGGAAGAGTTCCAGGACTTTCCCGGCTACATCGACTACATGGAATCGAAGGGAGCGCACAAGGCTGGTCTTGTGAAGGTTTGTTGTTTTGCAAATCTTATAGCGAATTCGTTTATTATTCAGTTCCAACCTGGATCGGGTATCAAGATTGGGTCTGCTTGTTTTCTGACAAACGTCAGTTTGCTCGTTTGTTTTTAAAACCCAGCTCAGGTTGAGGTTCGCACTGACAAAAAGTTCGGTTTCGCACTGGGTTGGAACTGGTTCCAACCCCGATAATAAACGAATTCGCTATTAGAAATTTTCATGACCCGAATTCGGATTCCAGGTAATTCCTCCCCCTGAGTGGATCCCCCGCAAGCAGGGCTATGATCTGAAAAACATCAACGTCACCATCAGGACTCCGATATCGCAGGTCGTTTCCGGCATGCAGGGCCTATACCAGCAGCTCAACATCCAGAAGCGCTCGATGAATGTCCAAGAGTTTTACGATAAAACCCGTCAGGAACGGCACGCCACACCGAAGCACTTTGACTACGAAGATTTGGAGAAAAAATTCTGGAAAAATGTGACCTATGTGGCACCGATCTACGGAGCGGATGTGCCCGGGAGTATTACTGACTCGGATGTTAAGGTGTGGAACATCAACTGCCTGGGGACGATCCTGGACTATGTCAATACGGATTATAACATATCGATAGCGGGAGTCAATACGGCGTACTTGTACTTTGGAATGTGGAAGACCACGTTCGCTTGGCACACCGAAGATATGGATTTGTATTCGATCAACTATCTGCACTTTGGGGCACCGAAAACGTGGTATGCAATTCCGCCGGAACATGGAAAAAAGCTTGAAAAGTTAGCGGAACGATACTTCCCTGCAAATTATCAGGAATGCAAAGCATTCCTGAGACATAAAATGACCCTAATCAGTACGCAGGTCCTGAAGCAGAATGGCATTCCGTTCAACAAAATAACACAGGAACCAGGGGAAATCATGATCACGTTCCCGTACGGGTACCACGCAGGATTTAATCACGGCTTTAACTGTGCTGAATCGACAAACTTTGCCACGGAACGGTGGATCGAGTACGGAAAGCGAGCATCGGTTTGCAACTGCCGGCCAGATATGGTGAAAATTTCGATGGAAACCTTTGTCCGAAGATTCCAGCCGGAACAGTACGATGGGTGGCTGCGAGGGGAAGACTACGGGTACCATCCGGAAGATCCGACCAATTATTGCGCCGCACCCAAACCGAGGGTGTTGCCGAAGAATCTAAAAAAGTGAGTCCTTTCCTTAATTATTGTTGAAGTGAAGTTGAATTCATTTTTATTTGTTACAGAATGCAAGAACAACTTCAGATGCATGCTCAAAAGCGAGGTTGCGCTCCTATAAAAGTAGACAAAAAGTAAGCTGCTTTACCAAATTTGAAAGGAAACTTTTTCAAGCCTGATCCCCGTTAAATGTTTTCAGAAAAATCTGCAAAAAAGCGGAAAAGTCAAAAGAGAAAGAGAAATTGAAATCCATCTGGAGCCAACTGGAGGGCAGGGAAAGTGGTATGGCCACCAATCTGCTCCTGGACGGTCCGGTCAAGAACACCAACAGAATTCGTTTTCAAACGAAGACGATCCACCTGTTGGACGATTGATCTTCGTCGTCGCTGTCCCAGGGTGGGATCCCACCACCGCGACAGCAGCAATAGAGTGCAATTCGTTTTACCTACAGATTTTTATTTGATAGGTAAAGCTCACTACTTAGCCTTGATGGCAAGTGGTTTCGCACATAATGCTAGTAGATGTATCCGGTTTGTTTGCATTGGTTTTAAGGACATTTTGCGATCTAAATGCCATTGTACGATGTATGGTAGATCTCATTTTTGTTTTGTATTTTAGAGTGAACTCTATGGTAGGTTCTAATACCTGTTTATTGTGAATTGCCGAGTGGATTTTAATGCGTTTGTGTAAGAAAATAACTGATAGGCTATAGTAATATATTATTAGATAATATTTTTCCCCTTCCAGAAGTGCAAGTTGAACTTTATATTGATCCGAATTTCCGTTGGTGTAGCTTCTGAAGTGTACCTACATTACCTAATCAGTTGCAAATAATTCAGCTGATAGGAGTTAAAACAACAATAAGAAAGGAAATGAAGGAAATATCTTATAAAGGACAAGATTCTGATGAGCAATAATTCCACAGCCCACAAAACCAAGGTTGTGATACATTTGCAATATAGACGCAGCGGATGTGGGACAGTTGACTATATTTCGCTACAAATGTTGAACATTTTTTCAACAATGTTTTATTATACTTAATGCCCAAGCTAAGTATTGAAACTTTCGAGAAGTGGTATGTTAAAAATCAAAGATTGAAATTTTGGCCAAGCTTATCATATTTTTTTTATGCCCTGGACCGGGAATTTTTTTTAAGTCGAGATCTCACTTTTTCCAAAAAAAACATGACCTACACAAGAAAACATATTTTAAACGCAATGTCATACTTTGACTGTACAATTTGGGCCGGCTAGGTTCTTTACCGGTAGTGAGGTACATTGTAATTGTATATTAGTAATATGCATTTAAAATGAAACTTAAATAGAACATTTATTTCCAGAACAACATGTGAAAAGGGCATACAAGCTTTTTGTAAACAAACCTTTGTAGGCCCTTTTCTCACCAACCGAGGGTCGCCCACGCAAACCAGCAATATCATCGGGAAGGGGAAAGTGTCCCCTACCCGGTGATGTTAAAGGTTTGCGTTGGTGTCATATGGGTGGCGAGAAAAGGGCATAAGAAGGTTTGTTTACAAAAAGCTTGTATGCCCTTTTCACATGTTGTTCTGGATTTGTGCATTCACACAGAGAAAATTCTACAATAATAGTGGTGGGCGTTGGCTGAATTAGGATTTTTGTTTTTCTTATGTAATCCTAAATTGGTTCTAGAGTATTTTTAATACTCTACACGGCCAACCAGAACAACTCTTTTATTATGTTGTAGAATTTTTACATAAATTGGTGCTAGACCGGTACGGCATGCCAGGTCCTTGAAATGGGATCAGCCGGTTTCAGTTGTTGAAAACGGATTTCATCGAGCATCGTTCCTAATCTTGTTTGACACCTCACTAGGTAAGCCGCCTGCAATTTGATCGATCCCCTTTGTTCGCTGCGCACATCTTCGTCTTGTTCCAGTCGGGTCGCTTCCAAGAACCATTTTCATTGGTCGTTATTCGACATTGTTGGCAATGATCAAAATTGCTTAACTTACAAACCTGCTGCAATGCTATTTAATGATTCAATTCTTTTCTACAGTGATTCAACAATTTCCGAGCTAAATCCAATCTTTTCAAAATTGGTTTAACCTTTTTAGAAGTGAGACCAAATCAGAAACGATTCAGGAAATTCCTAGTTGAGGTTACACTTTTCAAAGCAGATTCAAAACGGAGTCTGAACTTTTTTTAAGTGATTTCAAACTTTCGAATAAGTCATCAACATTTTTCTAACTGAGTCTTAACTTTTCCGTTATATTATTCAATCCTTTTTAATGTTGACGTGTTTCCGGTCTGATCTACGAGGTGTGCTGAAGGTGTTCTTGGAAAATGAGATCCGTGATGCTGCCACCTACACTGAACACGCCAAGCGTAAGCGGCCATGGATGTGTCGTCTACGCTTTGAAGCGACAGACGCACTCTGTACGGTTTCGGAGGTTAAATCATCGCCAACTTTGGCAACAAAACGACCCTTCTCAGCGAGGGGAGCGAATTTAGATTCTCAACAAATCGTACACTAGCGAATCATTCTTCGGAAAATCTTCTTTCATTTCTCGCATTTACTTGCATCGCGCATCATCTTTTTGCAGGAAATCTTCAGAATCGTCATCAATTTTCTTTCTATCTACCCAGCGTGCGCGCAGCTATCCACAGCAAAACAAAAAAGTAGAAGGGTCTGTGCCTAGGGGCACGAACGGAAGCTTGACGTAGGACCGCTAGTGGACGCAACAAATGTGAACATTTAGTTCTTTTAATTGATCAATCATCAATTATCTTAACTCTTTCCGTTTTTTATTTGCAAGCGTATCAAATTTGTAGTATTTATTTCAAAGAGAAAGTTGATGAAGAGAATCCAAGGGACTGTCAACTTGAGTATTTTTGATTCATCTACGCGACTTTAAAAGGTGTATTTTGAATTTTTTGTTATTTATGATTTTTTAAGTTTTGTGCATTTTGGAATTAAAGTGTATTCAATTTACCCCTCACAGGATTTCCTTCCAAATTATATGAATGGGGCGGGGCGGAAAGTATCGTTTGTGCAGAATATGTAAAAAAGGAGGGACCTCGAGAGATTGAACTCGTGAGAGCTAACTTTCTCACAAATTTGTTTTTATTGGCTTTCTGGGGACTGAATATACACCCAAAGCTAATTATTCCCACTTCTCTCAAATGCTATATGGATTTTTAACACTTCCTACTAGCGTGTTCTGGAAAATGGTCGGACGATGATTAATCTCACCAATACATTCGGGCCTACAAATCCACACCTTCTATAGAGACGAGGTTGAGCCTTGATAGCTAACTGCTTGCGGGAACTGATGATCTTGACATATGTCCAAATAATACTCTTAACAAATTTATAGAGGTCCTGAAAAGGACCGTTTTGTAGTGATGGTTGAGCGAGCAATGCTGAGCTGAGCACGACGAGCTACTGATTCCGATCCTAGCCTAGCGGTGGGACTTCTTCCTCCTTCTCTATGGTTGCTCATATGAGCTCTGCAGCTCGCTGCTAGCAGGCAGCCTTTCGTTATTGTTGTTGAAAGTACTCCTGCTGCTGCTGCTGCTGCTGCTACTACCACAAACGAAGTGACAGACGACTTTCTCCGAAGAAATTAATTAAAATAATGTGGTTCTCTGTAATAGAATTTTAGTCCACCTTCCGCCCCTCACCGCCAGGTTCGCTAGTATTTTTGCTTTGAATTAATTCAAGTTGGTTTTGTGTGCAATGATCTGGCAACCCGCGTTCTCGCTCACGTTGACGAGGTGCTGTTTTCTCACTCATCGAAGGAAGTTTTGATTAGAGTGAGAAAGTAAGGAACAGTCAGCGCGGGAACCGTGTACGTTACAATAGGTGCGGCAGAAGGAATGTAGACAACTCTTTCGTTCTCACGGTGTTCTTACGCATGATCCAACGTTACGTCACACTAGATTATGCATAAGAACGTCGTAAGAGATGAACTAGCCTATGGCTAAAAATCTCTCTAATAAAGAAAAAAAAAAAAGAAAAAAATAAGAACGTCGTGATAATGAAAGAGCTGAATTGTTTCCTTCTGCCTCACCAATCACATTGAGATGTTACTTTTTTGATTCCGAGAAAAGTTGACCTGAGTACCCACTTTGGGAAGCAATGTTTTAATTTCATTCATAATGTAGAGGGATGATGGTTTCGCTGAAACAGTGAGCAAAAAAATAGACGTTTGCTGGTATGGAAAACCGTGGCATACATAGTGGTCCCATTCTACTAGCGGTTGCAGAATATTTCGCTGCTGTGACGATCCAACAAGGAACGTTGATTACGTATTCCGGCCATGCTTTTGGACATTGCTGTACGGACCATTTATTGGTATCATGCTGCCCGGCATTCTTTGTTGCTAAGCAAACATGTTGCTGTTATCCTTCCAGCGACCCTGGTGTGTCCCGATTGCTCGGAATGATTAAGCTCTGCAATACTTTTCAATATCTAACAAGTGGTGTATAAACCAGTTTTGTAGTACATATAGAATTTCTGGAATGTTTGCGTTGTCCTATTTTTCCGTAAATATTCCTTCTTTCGACAACATTTGTGGGCTTCGTGGTCCAGTAATTAGCTGCGTCACCCGTCGCTCACCAGAGTGTCCATTCAAATCCCGTTTTAAATTCCCGCTATTTTCCCGGTTATTAAAAAAAAAGTCTGCCCTAAACAAAAAAAAAAAACAGGCGTTCAAAATTAACCCTTTAAAGATAATGATCACAGGCGTGCGCAGCCCTCTTCATTTGGGGGGGCCCGCCTACCAAATGGGGCGCTTCATAGCTTTGAGGGCGCCAATAATTTAGAAGAGTTAATGTTTATTTACTTACATTTTCCTTGAGCTTTCCAGATTTTCACGATTTTCTTTGAAAAATTTCGAGGTTTAACGAAAACTTTTAAAAACTGTTGTTTGTTAGACACATATCTTATTAAAAATTTAGTTTATAAAGTAAATAATTTAACACTGAGACGAAGATATCTGCAAAATAATTCATGCACTGAATTATGTTTTGAACTTCACGTCCAAGTACAAGCTAAGCTTTTAAGCTTATTTTAAGAATTTCATAAATAATCCTTTCGAATATTATTATTTTCATTTTGAATCATAAAAATATTACATATTTCAGAAATTTTAAAATGTCTCTATGTACGGAGAATTTTTTTTTCCTTGGATTTTTTTTACGTCGATCTAGTTTTCCGTGCTGAGCACCAATGCTACCGACGCCGTCAGTGAGGCAGCTCCCACACCTGGGCCCTTTCCTTATCGACCCATCACCTCATGAACCGGGGACCAACGGCTTTACTTCCCTTCCGAAGGAAGGCGTGATCAGAGATGTTATGCCTCAGAACATCCCGACGGTGCCGACTGGGATTGAACCCAGGCCTGCTGGGGTGAGAGGTAATCACGCTTACCACCGGCGCCGCTGTACGGAGATATTAAAACATAATACATCTTTCTACACCTAAGCTCGCAAGGAATGTGTAATGGGCAAGTGAGCTCGCGCACTAGGAGGGCGGTTGCATTGATTGCAAAATATTACTAAAATTTTGGATGCATAATAAAACCACTGATTTTTTAAAATTGCCCTATTTTAAAATTACAATTATGTTTCAGACTTGCAAACGCCTTCTAAACAAGCAAGCAAACGCACAAGAAGGGCGGTTGCATTCCTCGCAAAATAATTACTAAAATTTTGGATACATAATAAATCAGCTGAATTGTTAAAGTTGCCTTATTTTAAAATAACAAT